AGACTGAGCTATAAGAATGCAAGGAATTTGGCTGTTATTGGTTAATGCTCACCTGAAGGCTGGAGTTTCTGTGTCAGAATTTGCCAGGTAGAAAGTATCTTTCAACAATGCCCAACAAGAAATGTAGTCATTACCTTGTTGATGTAGCTATAACCCTCTGTATAACATCTTTACTAGAAAAAAAAAAGTATCTTTCACCTGGGGTTTCCTAGCTGTGTGCACCTCTGGGAAGCCAGGACCTTGAAAACCTAGTACAGAGCCTGGGAGGCAAGTTTTCTTGGTACTCAGTTGATCTGTGTTTCAGATAAGCTCCTCTCTTCCCACACAGGTAGCCAGGAGACTGCAGATGCAATTCTGAGGTATCAATTAAAACAGTGTCTTGCACATAGTAGGAACCCAGGATACACACACACACTTATGTGCTTATGTATACTAAAAGAATAAGTTGATGCATTCATATATGCATGTGTATACTCATATATAAATGCATATATATGTGAATGATAAATTCGAAATCAGCATTGTTTATAAATGATCGCTGATCTTCTCAAAATCTCCTATATCATATGTAGTGGGAAACCACTCAGAATTAGAAATTTAGCCACTTACAGCCATTGAGTGGGAGAGCCCAGAGCCAGACTGGTGGGTGCAAGGTCCTTGTCTGTGAACCTCAGGCACACATTAGCTAGGGGGAAGAAGAAGCTACCAGAGGAAGGAATGAGCATAGCTTTCTACCCCTGTTTCCTCAGCTTGGAAGGTAATTACATATGAATTCATTCCTTCCAACGTGCTGGGAACTTGGTTTCTAAAACTGTCAGACTCCCCTGAAGGCCTATTTCTAAGAGCTGCCTAAATGGGACAAGTGATATTTTGGTGTTACTGCTTTTCTTTTTTCTTTTTTTTTTTCCTTTTTTCTTTGTGTGAGCCCTTTCCTCAGGCTTGAACTTGGGCCAGGGTGCTGTCCATGACATTCTTTTTGCTTAAGGCTAGCACTCTACTACTGCTTGTCCAGGCTGGCTTCAAACCGTGATCCTCAGATCTCAGCCTCCTGAGTAGCCAGGATTACCGGTGTGAGTCACAAGTGTCCAGCGTCACAGCCTTTCTTTAAACCATGTCCCCAGGCCCTGAGGTGCATGGCATTTTCTGACATCCCCAACCCTGCCTAGGTCCCAGTTTTCACCACCCTCTCTGTCTGACTTCTGGATCAGTGCTCTGGGATTTTAGAGGCTGCAGTGATACTTGTCATTGCCCCTTTAATTGGTACCTTGGTTAAGCTCCATCTCCCTGGCTAGAAGGAGACTTCAGGAGAGCCGGGATTATATAGTGCTTTACCTTGCATAATGCTAGGCACAAATGGCTGCTTAAGCCATTCTTCAGAACAAAGGAATGACTCCCAAGTTAATAAAACAGAGACAAGAAAAAAGAATTAGGAGCCCAAAAGGCAGAAACTTCCAAAAAGGAAACCAGAGTTTGTCATCTACTGACTCTAGTATAAGTCAGGCTACATTGAAACTGATTCCAAGCTTTAAAAAAAAAATTGTCTTAAATAAGTTAAAAATAATTTCAGGTGCTGGGAAGGTGGCTCAGTGGTAGAGTGCTTGCCTTGCATGCATGAGCCCCTGGGTTTGATTCCTTAGCACCACATAAGCTGAAAAGGCCAGAAGTGGTACTGTGGCTCAAGTGGTAGAGCACTCGCCTTGAGCTCAAGAGCTGAGGGACAGCGCCCAGGCCCAGAGTTCAGGCCCACGACCAACAATCAGTCAATCAATCAGTCAATAAAAATAATTTCAGATACACGTGAGGAGTGAGTTGGTGATAGGGGAGAGTGGTTCAGAACATTATTGTGCTTTGTGACTTTTTGAGGTACTTTCAGAGGCTCCTGAGAACTTAGAAAGGGTGACAGGAGGATGAGTAGATACAGTTTAATACTGGGGCTTCAGCTCTAGGCCTGTCACTCCTGTTTGGCTTTTTGGCTCTTGGCAGGCACTCTACCACTTACTTGAGCCATGTCTCCAGAACTGGCTAATTTGTCATTAAGTAATTTTGTTATTGTATAGACATTGCAGGGTATATTTACCCAAACTAAGATGGGTATAATATCACTAGAAGATTCTTTTTAATTTTATTTATTTATTTTGTGTGCCAGTATTGGGGCTTGAACTGGTCTTGGAGCTATCCTTGTGCTTTTTTGCTCACAGCTAATGCTCTACCACTTTGGTTACTGCTCCATGTAGCTTGTGTGTGTGTGTGTGTGTGTGTGTGTGTGTGTGTGTGTGTGTGTGTGTGTGTGTGTGTGTGTGTGTGTGTATGATTAATTGGCAACATGAGTCTCGCAGACTTAATGTCCATGCTGGCTTCAAACCACTATCCTCAGATCTCAGCCTCCAAAGTAGCTAAGACTACTCATGCTAAGGCATGAGCCACCAGCAACCAGCCTCATTGGCTTTTAAGAGTATAATGTGTATTTGGGTTTTCTCAAATTACTAACTCAGCATCCTAGTCCCATGACACATAATTTATACTTTTGTAATTCTGATGAGTTTCCATTAATATATAAATACTGTCACACTGTTGTGACAATGGATAGTGAATGAACAGGCTGGATATGTAAGTTAGGTACAGTTGATAACCTTTTATTGTAGTGGACCCATCACCAGTGCTTCCTAGTTGGTAGGCGTAAGATAAAGGAAAATCTAACTTACACATCAAATTACACGTCTAGACAGCTAGGGGATCTATAAATTCCCCTTCAAAAAAAGTGAGGAAGTAGTGCTGTGGCTCAAGTGGTAGAGTGTTAGCCTTGAGCCAAAGAAACTCAGGGACAGTACCCAGGCCCTGAGTTCTAGCATCGAGACTGGCTAAAACTAAATTTAACCTGGTGCTGATGGCTCATGCCTGTAATCCTAGCTACTCAGGAGTCTGGGATCTAAGGATCAAGGTTGGAAGCCAGCCCATGCAGGAAAGTCTGTGAGGCTCTTTTTGTTGTTGTTGTTGTTGATCATGGGGCTTGAACTCTGGGACCAGGCCCTGCCCCTCAGCTCTTCAGCTCAAGGCTAGCGCTCTACTACTTGAGCCACAGCACCATTTCAGGTTTTCTGATGGTTTATTGGAGATAAGAGTCTCATGTACTTTCCTTCCCAGGCTGGCTTTGAACTGCAATCCTCAGATCTCAGCCTCCTGAGTAGCTAGCAAGGATTACAGGCGTGAGCCACCAGTGCCCAGCCTGTGAGGCTCTTATCTACAGTTAACCAGAAAAGGCCAGAAATGGAACTGTGGTTCAAGTGGTGGAGTGCTAGCCTTGAGCACAAAAGATCAGGGACAACATCTAAGCCCAGAGTTCAAACCTAGGACCAGCAAAAAAAAAAAAAAAAGTGAGATCAATCTAATTTTCCTTATGCAAACAGTTGCTCCCTTAGGGTAGGGTAACCCTAAGGGAGCAACTTAACCTGTTTAGTGAAGTCCAGATATATTACTCACATTGGAAGCCTTGTAATCAAGACTTCCTGCTTAATGTAGTTTCTGAAGGGGAAAAAAGACACAAAAGAAGGAAATGATGGAAATAAAAATAAAAGAAGTGCACAAAAATGTGCAGATTGAAAGGTCAGATAATGTGATGTCAGGAAAATGTACCCTTAGATATGTATTTTAATGTTTGTTTCTTTCATGCATGTGTTTCTAACGCATTTATAAGATTATCTCTTTGTTGCTTTGTATGTCCCTCCCCCACAGTATAACCCCCGCTTTCACTGTATTTGATGTCAATATAACTTGTGGAGGAGATGGGGAAAAACCAGTTGTTTAAGGATACAGGGGGACCTGTTGCAACAATGAGAAGTACAAGTTGTCATGTCCAAAACGAGCTTTACAACGTCGGTGTAGGGGGGGGGAATTGGGGGGGAGGGGGGAGACTGGGAAGGGAGGTGAAGGGTAAACAAAGGAGGAGGCTGCAATGCTTGGTAAGAAATGTACGCATTATCCTGCCCATGTAATTGTAACCCCTCTGTACAGTATGTTCACAAATTAAATTAAATTAAAAAAAAAAATGTGCAGATTGTAGGGGCTGGGAAGGTGGTAGAGTGCTTCCTTGCGTGCATGAGGCCCAGGGTTCGATTCCTCAGCACAACATAAGCAGAAAAAGCTGGAATTGGTGCTATGGCTCAAGTGGTAGAGCACTAGCCTTGAGCTGAAGAGCTGAGGGACAGCGCCCAGGTCGAGTTCAGGCCCCACCCCCCAAAAAAAGTTAAGATTGTATCCTGTAGTTTATAAAGACGTCCTTGGGAGGAATTCTGTGCTCTCTTGCCATATAAACTTTTTCCTAAATATCTGGTAGACTTCTAAAATTTTATAACTGTTTTCTATTGTGTATCGGTTGCTAGAAGGCCAAGAGGCAAATTTTTGGTCCATGTGAAGCTTCATAGAAGGATGAGTATTGATGCTTGGGACTGGAGGAATAACAGATTTTCACTGTTAAGGACCATCCCACACAATTTTTTTTTTTTTTTTTTTTTTGGGTCCGGTCCTGGGGACTGAACTCTGGGCCTGGGCGCTGTCCCTCAGCTCTTCAGCTCAAGGCGAGCACTCTACCACTTGAGCCACAGCGCCACTTCTGGCTTTTTTCTTTTTGCTTATGTGGTGCTGAGGAATCGAACCCAGGGCCCCATGCATGCAAGGCAAGCGCTCTATCACTGAGCCACCTTCCCAGCCCTCTCACAACTTTTCTTGAGCAAATGGTGGTAAGTAAAACTTTTCTATGTCACCACATAAGGAAAATAATGTTCTTTTCCAATTCTATGATAAAAGAATCAGACTATAACTATAGAATCCAGTTCATTGTGATTTTAAACTTATTGATGTTTGGGATTTATTTATGCAAATGTGTTCGACGGTTTGAGTTTAATATTTTTTAAAAACTTATTATAAAGGTGCTATACAGAGGGGTTACAGTTACATAAGTCAGGTAGAGTTTACTATTCTTAAACTATTTTTTCCTTTTTTTCTAGGTGAATGTTGGATGTGTACCCAAAAAGGTAGATATTTTTATTTCTTCTTTCTATGCTCCTTTTTCATATTTGATAAATCATGATCAGAATAAGGCTGTTTCCAAATACGTCATTTGAAAAAATAACTGAGACCCTAACTAAGAGTCGCTTAAATAATAAGATGGGTTTTGTTGATATTTCTTTTTCTTTTTCTTTTTCTTTTTGTCAGTCGTGGGGCTTGAACTCTGGACCTGGGCGCTGTCCCTCAGCTCTTCAGCTTATGGCAAACGTTCTACCCTTGAGCCACAGCACCACTTCTGGTTTTCTAGTGGTTTATTAGAGATAAGAGTCTCAAGGACTTTCCTGCCCGGGCTGGCTTTGAACCTCGATCCTCAGATCTTAGCCTCCTGAGTAGCCAGGATTACAGGCATGAGCCACTGGCACCCAGCCGTTGTTGGTATTTCTTAATGTCTTTTGATGTGAAGGCCTTGACATGGGCTTTTTTTGATCTTTAGTTACTGAGTTTCCTATTTCCTCTCACATTCTAAGCAAGAAGCTTATCTTTGAACTATACTCCCAGCTCTTAGTTCTAGATTTGGTATCTATTTTGCTTGGAGTCACGAAATTATGGATGTGTGACATATATAGATTAGTTATAAGGTAGTGTGTGTCCTTTAAACCAATTGTGGTAATTTAGTATTGATTAGTATTATGTCATTTAAAAAATAACGCTGGAGCCAGATGCTGGTGGCTCCCACCTGTAATCCTGGCTACTCAGGAGGCTGAGATCTGAGGATTGCAGTTAAAGCCAGCCTAGGCAGGAAAGTCCATGAGACTCTTATCTCCAATAAACCATCAGAAAACCTGAAATGGTGCTGTGGCTCAAGTGGTAGAGTGTTAGCCTTGAGCTCAAGAGCTAAGGGACAGTGCCCAGGCCCAGAGTTCAAGCCTTATGACTGACCCAAAAAAAAAAAAAACAAAAACAATTCTTACCCAAGGTAGCATGGAACTATGATCTTAGATCTTCAATCTCCTGCATGAACCACTGGCTGAGGCAGGAAATTTTAAGTGAGGCCAGCCTGAGGGATATGTCTTTGACTGAAAAAAAGTAAAGGAACAACAACAACCAAAAAAAAAATTAGAGTTAACAATTCAGTGATCTTAGGTATAAAAAGACATTTATAAAGCATTTTACACTGGTTACCAATGGAGTCTAAAGTTTGTCTGGCAGAGAAAATTGGTAGTTTGTTATCTGGAGTTCAGGATTTCAATTTGAATCTTGTTATCTTAAAGATCAGTTGGCAGAAAAAGACCTTTACAGAGTGTAGGCTGCATTCCACATGAGGTATGTCCAACCTTTACATTGCATATATCTCATTACCTATAGCCTTATAAGAGGTTCATTATTACTGACTTTATTTTTTTAATTTTTTGGTTGGTCATAGGGCTTGAACTCTGGGCTTGGGTGCTGTCCCTCAGCTCTTCAGCCCAAGACGAGTGCTCTACTGCTTGAGCCACAGCACTACTTCCAGTTTTCTAGTGGTTTATTGGAGATAAGAGTCTCACGGACTTTCCTGCCCGGGCTGGCTTTGAACTGTGATCCTCAGGTCTCAGCTTCCTGAGTAGCTAGGATTACAGGCATGAGCCACCGGTGCCTGGCTCTGACTTTATAATAGGAGTGTAAACTTAAACTTTTTTTTTTGGTCAGTTGTAGGGCTTGGACTCAGGGCCTGGGAGTGTCCCTGAGATTTTGCACTCAAAGCTAGCACTTTACCACTTTGAGCCACTGTTTTCTGATGGTTAATTGGAGAAAAGAATCCCACGGACTTTCCTGCTTGGGCTGGCTTTGAACTGTGATCCTCTGATCTTAGCCTCCAGAGTAGCTAGGATTACAAGCATGAGCCACTGGCACCTGGATAGAGTTTTTCTTTTATATTACTTTCCTGTAGAGTTGCAGATTCCCCAGTTTCCTGAAATTGAACCAAAAAGAGCAAGGCTAACAGAAATCTAAATTTTAAGTACTTGTCTAGCGAGTGTGAAGCCCTAAGTTCAATTCCTAGTATTGAAGAAAAGAATATAAAATTGAAAATAGGAATGTAAACAATAACAATTTTAAAGGAATGACTGTGGCCTATAATATTCTGCTCTATAATCAAGGTAGTTTAATAGTAGATGTAATTTTGCCCATTATTTCAGAAGCCTCCTAGTAAAATTAATCTGGTCATATTTCTAAATTTGGCTTCAATGTGTTCAGATTTAAAAAAAAAATTTTATTGTCAAGATGATTTACAGGGGGATTACATTTAAATATGTAAGATACTAAGTACATTTCTTGTTGAACATTGTTACCCCTTCCCTTGTTTTCTCCCACTTTCCCTCCTCCCATAGATTTTTTTTTTTTTTTAATTTCAGGGTATTTTTATCTGCAGTTACAGAGTTTGAATATACTCATGATTTATGTTCAGCATGACCGTTTATACTTCTTTTACAGGTAATGTGGAACACAGCTGTCCACTCTGAATTTATGCATGATCACGTTGATTATGGATTTCAGAGCTGTGAAGGAAAATTCAATTGGCGGTAAGTGTTAAGAGGTTCAATTTATAATGATAGGTATTTTCATAACCTAGCCATAAACTTTTCAGAGGGTATTACTGTGGTAAAAATGTACAACATAGGACTGGGGATATAGCTCAGTGGTAGAATTCCTGTGTATGATGTACAAAGCCCTGGATTTATTCTCTCTCACTCCTGTTAAAGTCACACACACCACAAAATTTATAGTTTCAGACATTTTTTTTTTTTTTTGGGTCCGGTTGTGGGGTCTGAACTCTGGGCCTGGACACTGTCCCTCAGCTCTTCAGCTCAAGGCTAGCGCTCTACCACTTGAGCCATAGCACCACTTCTGGCTTTTTTTTTCTGTTTATGTGGTGCTGAGGAATTGAACCCAGGGCCTCAGGCATGCAAGGCAAGCGCCCTACCACTGAGTCACCTTCTCAGCCCTGGTTTCAGACATTTTTAAGTGTACAGTTCGGTGGCACTGAGTGTATTCACAGTGTTGGGCAGCCAGAACTTCTCCCCAGTCTCAAACAGGAACTCTGTATGCATTAAGCAATAACTCTCGCCTAAGCCCTGATAACTCCATTTTATTTCTGTCTTTGTGACTTAACCTATGCTAGATACTTAACAGAAATAGAATGATATAATATTTTCCATTCCTGCTTGAATTCACTTAGTGTAAAATTGTCAAGGGTTTGTCTATGTTGTAGCAGACCTTAGTCTTTCATGCTTTTAGTGCTGTGAGATGTACAGGTCAGTTGTAGGGCTTGAATTCAGGGCCTAGATGCTGTCATGGAGCTATTTTTTACTCAATTCTAGCTTCTGCCACTTTGAGCCACAGCTCTACTCCCAATTTTTGGTAGTTAATTGGAGATCAGAGTCATGCTTTGAATAGCCATCCTCAGATCTCAGCCTCCTGAGTAGCTAGGATTATAGGTATGAGCCACCAGCACCAGGCTTAAAAGCATTCTTTTGTTTGTTTTTTTTGTTTTTGTTTTTGTTTTGTCAGTCATGGGGCCTGAACTCTGGGCCTGGGCACTATCCCTCAGCTCTTCAGCTCAAGGCTAGTGCTCTACCACTGGAGCCATAGTGCCACTTCCAGCTTTTTCTGCTTATGTGGTGCTGAGGAATAGAACCCAGGGCTTCATGCATGGGAGGCAAGCACTCTATCACTCAGCCAACTTCCCAGACCCTTAAAAGCATTTAAAAAAAAATAACAAAGTAGAAACAAATCAAAGGTACATGCCTAAGTAACTGGATACAGGAACTAGTACATCTTTATGACAAAGAAAACTTCTACTGTATACATATTCTTTTTTTTTAATTTTTTTTATTTTTTGGTCGCTTGTGGGGCTTCAACTCTGGGCTTGGGCACTGTCCCTGTGCTCTTCAGCTCAAGGCAAATGCTCTACTGCTTGAGCCACAGTGCCACTTCTGGTTTTCTAGTGGTTTATTAGAGATAAGAGTCTCAAGGACTTTCCTGCCCGGTCTGGCTTTGTACCGTTATCCTCAGATCTCAGCTTCCTGAGTAGCTAGGATTACAGGCATAAGCCACCGGCAACCAGCTTCTGTATATATATTCTAATCTAATAACTTTGTCATAAACTTCTGAGGCCATCAAACTTAAAAAAAAATTAAGCAAATCTATACCTTTTTTCAACAAATAAATTTCCTGAGTGGCCACCATATACTAGGTATCATGCCAAAGCAGCTCCCATTGTTTTCCTATGTAGAAAAAGGCTTACTTATTATGGATGCCAACTGAGCCTTCTCCATGTAGAGGAATAGAGTCTAAACACGTGGGAAAGCAGTTGGACACAGAACTGTTTTCAGAGACATTTTGCTGACTTCTTTTATGTCGACAGTTAGGAAAGCTCAGGAAAGGTGTCCTGCTTATTAACTAAAATAGGAAAATCCTTTTTCTGACTACTGACTCAGATTTCATTACAGTGTTATAAAGGAAAAGCGAGATGCCTATGTGAGCCGGCTGAACACCATCTATCAAAATAATCTAACCAAGGTGTGTATACTAGGTTTTGAACTTGGAAAAGGAGGTTTGCACTACTGGAGTATACAACCATGCCTGACCAGATGAAAATGTGGTCTTTGATTTGTTTCCATGATTTTTTATTTTTTTTTTTATTCAAGGCCTGGGCTTAAACTCAAGGTATGGGTGCTGTTGCACCCACATTCATTAATTGTTCAGAAAAGTCACAGCTTCAGATTCTTCCTTAAGTATATTCCTTTGATCAGTTTGTTTGTGTATAAATGCACTGAACCCTGTATATGTTATCATACATAGTTGTATTTCAATCTAGTTTCCACACAAGAGAAAACATGCACCATTTGTCCCTCCGAGCCTGATTTACTTCACTTAACATGATTTGTTCTAGGTCCATCCATTTCCCAGCACATGACATAATTGTTTCTACAGATGAGTAAAATTCCATTGTATATAGGTACCATATTTTTCTGATCCACTCATCTAATGTGGGACATCTGGGCTGTTTCTATAACTTCCTGGCTTGTAATGTTCTGGGTAGATGTCCAAAAGTGGTATGGCTGGCTCATGGTGTAGTGTAGTTCTATGTTTAGTTTTTTGTTTTTTGGTTTTTTTTTTGGTCCGATCATGGGGCCTGAACTTTGGGCCGGGGCGCTGTCCCTCAGCTCTTCAGCTCAAGGCTAGCGCTCTACCACTTGAGCCACAGCACCACTTCTGGCTTTTTTCTTTTTTGCTTATGTGGTGCTGAGGAATCGAACCCAGGGCCTCAAGCATGCAAAGCAAGTGCTCTACCACTGAGCCACCCTCCCAGCCCATTATAACGTGTTTTTATCTTTCTTAGTTCTATGTTTATTTATTTATTTATTTATTTTGGTCCGATTCTGGGGCCTGAACTCTGGGCCTGGGTGCTGTCCTTCAGCTCCTCAGCTCAAGGCTAGTGCTCTACCACTTGAACCACAGCACCACTTCCAGCTTTTTTTTCTTTTTGCTTATGTGGTGCTGGGGAATCGAACCCAGGGCCTCATGCATGCAAGGCAAGCGCTCTACCACTGAGCCACCTTCCCAGCCCCCTATGTTTAGTTTTTTGAGGAATTTCCAAACCATCTTCCAGAGTGGCTGTATTAGTTTGCATTCCTGTCAGTAGTGCAATGTGGTTCCTTTTCCCCACATCCCCACTCATCATCTGTTATTGTTGATATTCTTTTTTTTTTTTTTTTTTCTTGTTTCAGTAGTGGATGTTGAACTCAGTACCTGGGCACTGTCCTTGAACTCTTTTGCCCAAGGTTAGCTCTGTACCACTCTGAGCCATAGCGCCACTCCTGTTTTCTGGTAGTTAATTGGAGATAAGAGTCTTAACAGACTTTCCTGCCTATGCTGGCTTTGAACCATGATCCTCAGATCTCAGTCTCCTGAGTAGCTAGAATTTCAGGCATAAGCCATCAGCACCTAGCATAATTGTTCACTTTTTTTTTTTTTTGGTTGGTCCTGGGGCTTGAACTCTGGGCCTGGGCGCTGTTCCTCAGCTCTTCAGCTCAATGCTAGTACTCTACCACTTGAGCCACAGTGCCACTTCTGGTTTTCGGGTAGTTTATTGGAGATGAGAGTCTCATGGACTTTCCTTCCCCGAGCTGGCTTTGAACCACAATCCTCAGATCTCATCCTCTTCAGTAGCTAGGGTTACAGGCATGAGCCACCAGTCCCTGGCTATAGTTGTTCATATTCTTGATGCTAGCCAATCTTCTTGGAGTGAGATGGAATCTCTGTTGTTTTGATTTGTATTTCCTTTATTGCCTGCAACATCAAAAGCCTCTGATCTGGTAACCTAGTCTCTTAACTGTGGGAAATTGATGTTATGTACTGAGGATCGTAGACCCAAGTCTTAATTCACAAATAGAACATATGGGGCTGGGAAAGTGGCTCAGTGGTAGAGTGCTTGCCTTGCATACATGAGGCCCTGGGTTCAATTCCTCAGTACTACATAAGCAGAAAAGGCCGGAAGTGGGACTGAGGCTCAAGTGGTAGAGCTCTGGTTTACAGCTGAAGAGCTGGGGGACAGCGCCCAGGCCCAGAGTTCAGGCCCCACAACCGACAAAAAAAAAACCAAACAAATAGAACACATGGGAGATTGATTTATATGCCAGGATGTCAGTGGACTAATCCAAATGAGGAGCATTGTCTGGCTGAAAAACCTGCCATTGTTATTTCTCAGAACAGCTTCATCCTTGGTGGCTACATCTACAAAGGAGACCGAATTATGATTCAGGAATTAAGTGAATGAGGTCTGATCCAGAATACTAGCTAAGGCTGGGAAGGTGGCTTTGTGGTGGAGTGCTTGCCTAGCACACAAGAAGCCCTGGGTTTGATTCCTGTATAAACAGAAAAAGCTGGAAATGGCTCTGTGGCTCAAGTGGTAGAGTGCTAGCCTTGAGCAAAAGAATCTGAGGGACAGTGCCCAGGCCCTGGCACTGGCAAAAAAAAAAAAAAGCAAAACTAGCTAGTGTTTGCCTCCAGAAAACATGTTGACTTCTGTTCTCCTGAGGCTTTGATGCCCCACCTTTCTCACCTGCAACTGTGCTGGAAAAATGGTAAATCATCCAGCTGTCCTTGGATTGCATCTGTCCCACCTCCTTCTCATTTGTCTTTATGTGTAGATGATAATAGATACTTTATTACATCTTACTAGCAGCATGTTTATAAGCCAGATTTTGAGGGGAGTTACTTCTAAAGATGGCTCACTTCATATGCTTTTATTATTGCTTACTAAGATTTGAACTCAGAGCCTGTGTTTTCCCAGATCGCTTTCTTTTTTTTTTTTTTTTTTTTTGTCGGTCATGGGGCTTGAATTCTGGGCCTGGGCGCTGTCCCTCAGCTCTTCAGCTCAAGGCGAGCGCTCTACCACTTGAGCCACAGCGCCACTTCCGGTTTTCTGGTGGTTTATTGGAGATAGGAGTCTCACAGTCTCTCCTGCCCGGGCTGGCTTTGAACCGCGATCCTCAGATCTCAGCCTCCTGAGTAGCTAGGATTACACCAGCGCCCGGCATCAGATCGCTTTCTTGATTGACATTCTACTACCCAAACCATACCTCCAGTGCTGCTTTTGATAGTTACTTTGAAGTTCAAGTCTCTCAGATTTTTCTTCCTAGCCTGGCTTATATCCTCTAGAGCTTGGCCTCCCAAATTTTTAAAATTTATTGTTGTTTTAGAGGTGATATACAGTGGGATTATATTAACGTACATCAGGTAATAAGTGTATTTCTTTATGCATAGTGTCATCTGTTCCCTCATTCTCTCCCATTCCCTCCCTCCCATCTCTACCCATAATTTGCATAGTTCACTTTCATCAATTTCCAGTGCATTCCATTGCTGCACTTGAACCTTTTTCCTCAGATGCTGTGCCCTACCTCACCCTCTCACAGATGTGCACGTGAGTACACCGTATATGAGGTAAAGAATACAGTCATCAGAAGTGGCACTGTGGCTCAAGTGGTAGAGCGCTCACCTTGAGCTGAAGAGCTTAGACAGTGCCCATGCCCAGAGTTCAAGCCCCACTACAGATCAAAAAAAAGAATACAGTCATCAGAAAAACAAAACACAAATTAAGAAAAAAGTCCTTTGTTTCCATATCTTTGAAGTGTGTTTCAGTATGTATATTATTTTACATACGTACAAAGAGCCACTTGCATATTGCACATCTGTGATTCTCTCCTAAGACTCTCCTCTTTTGGTCTCACTGTATGTGAGTATCTAGAATCCTCTGTAATTTGTCATGTCGCAGTGCATTTTAGATCTAACTTCCTTATATCAGGGAGAACATCCCCCATTTGTCTCTTTGATCTTAGCTTACTTCACTTAACATAATTTGTTCTAGTTCCAGCTATTTCCCTGCAAATGACATTATTCCTTCTAATGGCTGTGTGAAATTCCATCATATATAGATACAACATATTTTGGACCCACTCATCTTTTGTGGGGCATTTGTGTTGTTTCCATATCTTGGCTATGGTGAATAGTGAGGCAATGAACATGGATGTGCAGGTGTCCTTATTATATCCTGGCTTGTGATTCCCAGGGTAGATGAAGTGGTATGGCTGGGTCATAGGGAAAGTCTGAGTTTAGTTTTTTTGCGGAGCCTACAGACTGCTTTCCAGAGTGGTTATACTAGTTTACATTCCCACCAGCAGCGCAGTAGGGTTCCTTTTCTCCCCATCCTAGCCAGTATTTGTTGTTACTAGAATTCAAAATGTTGGCCAGTTTAATATCTCAGGGTTGTTTTGATTTGCATTTCCTTCATGGCCAAGGATAACGAGCATTTCCTCATGAATCTCTTTGCCATTTTGTCCTGTTTTTCTGAGAAGTCTCTCTTTAGCTCCCTTGTCATTTAGTAATTGGTGTCTTAAGTTTGGGAGGGGTTACTTTCTTGTGCTCCTTGTATATATTGGATAGTAGGCCTTTGTCTGATGGATTGCTGGTAAAAATCTTTTCTAAATTGGTTGGCCTTTTTTTTTTTTTTTTTGTGGGGCTTGAACTCTGGGTCTGGGCGCTGTCCCTCAACTCTTCAGCTCGAGGGTAGCACTCTACCACTTGAGCCACAGTACCACTTCTGGCTTTTTCTGCTTATGTGGTGCAGAGGAATTGAACCCAGGGCCTCCTTCAGGCATGCAAGGCAAGCACTCTACCACTGAGCCACCTTCCCAGCCCTGGCTATCTTTTTACTTCAGTAAGTATGTCCTTAGCTGTGCAGAAAATTTTTTATCTTAATGTAGTCCCACTTGTCAATTCTCTCTTCTATCTGTTGTGCCCTGGAACTCTATTCAGGAAGTTCCTTCCTGTACCTATAAGTTTTATTGTCTCTCCTCCTCTCTCATGTAGTAGTTTCAGAGTTTCAGGTCTGATGTTGAGGTCTTTGATACACTTTGAATTGATATTAGTGCATGGTAACAAACAGGGATCCACTTTCAGTTTTCTGCATATGGCTGCCCAGTTTTCCCAACACCAATTGTTGAATTGGCTTTGTTTTTTTCCAATGTTAGGTCTTTGGCTTCTTTGTCAAATATCAAATGACTGTTTTTTTATCTCAGTAAAGAACGTCATTGGGCCGGGCACTAGTGGCTCATGCCTGTAATCCTAGCTACTCAGGAGGCTGAGATCTGAAGTTTGTGGTTCAAAGCCAGCCTGGGCAGGAAAGTCCATGAGACTCTTTTGTTGTTGTTGTTGTTGTTGGTTGTGGGGCTTGAACTCTGGGCTTGGGCACTGTCCCTGTGCTCTTCAGCTCAAGGCGGGAGCTCTACCACTTGAGCCACAGCACCACTTCCAGTTTACTAGTGGTTTATTGGAGATGAGAGTCTCACAGTCTTTCCTGCCCAGGCTGGCTTTGAACGGAGATCCTCAGATCTCAGCCTCTGTAGCTAGGATTACAGGCGTGAGCCACCAGTGCCTGGCTTCCATGAGACTCTTATCTCCATTAAACCACCAGAAAACCAGAAGTGGCGCAGTGGCTCAAGTGGGACAGCACTAGCCTTGAGTTGAAAAGCTGAGGGACAGGGCCCAGGCCTAGAGTGCAAGCCCCACGACAGACAAAAAACAAACAAACAAACAAAAAAACATCATTGGGATTTACATGGGGATTGCATTGAATTTGTATACCATTTTTGGCAGTGTGCCCATTTTTGCAATATTGATTCTACCTATCCATGAGCATGGAACTTCTTTCCATTTCCTGATATTCTCTTTGATTTTTTTTTTTTTTTTTTTGGTCAGTCATGGGGCTTGAATCCTCAGATCTCAGCCTCCTGAGTAACTAGTATTAAAGGCATGAACCACTGGCGCCTGGCTCTTTGATTTCTTTCTTTAGATTTTTACAGTTTTCTCTATAAAGGTCTTTTACATCTTTGGGTAGGTTAATTCCTGAGAGTGTTGTTGTTGTTGTTATTTGAGGCTATTACAAATGGGGTTGTTTTCATGATTTCCCTTTCTGGTTGTATATTGTTGGCCATACAGAAAGGCTACTGACGGGCTGGGAAGGTGGCTCAGTGGTTGAGCGCTTGCCTTGCATGCCTGAGGCCCTGGGTTCAATTCCTCAGCACCACATAAGCAAAAAGAAAAACAAGCTGGAAGTGGCGCTGTGGCTCAAGTGGTAGAGCACTAGCCTTGAGCTGAAGAGCTGAGGGACAGCGCCCAGGCCCAGAGTTCAGGCCCCACGACCAGACCCAAGAAAAACAAAACAAACAGAAAGGCTACTGATTTTTGTGTGTTAATTTTTGTATCCTGCTGCTTTTCCGAAGAGGTTGATCAGCTCTAGGAGTTTGGGGGTGGAGTTTTTTGGGTCCTTTAGGGTACCTAGCTCTTTTATATTGACTCATCATTCATTGCATTTAGTCTTTAGAGTATATTTTCTGGCCTTAAACTCCAGTTCCGGGGAGGAGGGGGGTAAATATAGAGGCCTACATACCTGTATGCACTATTATTGGTATTAACAGACTTGTGTTTAGCTCCCATACGAACTTTTTTTTTTTTTTTTTTTTACTAGTCGTAGGTCTTGAACTCGGGGCCTGAGCACTGTCCCTGAGCTTCATTTGCTTAAGGCTAGCACTCTACCCCTTGAGCCACAGCACCAATTCCAGCCTTTTCTTTTTATGTGGTACTGAGGAATCGAACCAAGGGCTTTATGCATGCTAGGCAAGCATTCTACCACTAGGCCACATTCCCAGCCCCTACCATATGAACTTTAAAAAAAATGGTGAGGAGGAAGAATAATGAAATGTGTGACACAAAACATGTTGAATTGCAACATTAAGTAGTTTGTACAACTACTTAAGGATAAAATAGAAATCTAAACAGTAAAAATAAAATGGTGCAAGCTAGGGCTGGGAAGATGGCACAGTGGTAGAGTGCTTGCCTTGCATGTATGAGACCCTGGGTTCGATTCCTTAGCACCACATAGGCAGAAAAAGCTGGAAGTGGTGCTGTGGCTCAAGTGGTAGAAGAACTGAGGGACAACGCCCAGGCCTAGAGTTCAGGCCCCATTACCGACAAAAAAAAATAATAATAATAAATTAAAATGGTGCAAGCTAGAAGTCTTCTGCAAAAGAAGTCATAACAATTTTTAAGAAGTCACTATTTTTTTTTTTGTTTTGGTCTGTCGTAGGGCTTGAACTCTGGGCCTGAGCACTGTCCTTCAGCTTTTCAGGTCAAGGCAAGAGCTCTACCACTTGAGCCACAGTGCCACTTCTGGCTTTTTCTGTTTATGTGGTGCTGAGAAATCAAATCCAGGGCCTCATGCATGTGAGGCAAGTACTCTATCACTGAGCCATCTTCCCGGCCCAAGAAATCACTATTAAAAAAAGATAGAGCTGGTGCTGGTGACTCACACCCATAATCCTAGCTACTTCGGAGGCTGAGATCTGAGGATCATGGTTCAAAGCCAGCATGGGCAGGAAAGTCTATGAGACTCATCTCCAGTTAATCATCAGAAAACTGGAAGTGGTGCTGTGGCTCAAAGTGTAGAGCTCTTGCCTTGAGCTGAAAAGCTGACGGACAGCATCCAGGCCCAGAGTTCAAACCCACAACCAACAACAACAACAAAAAGAGCCAGGCACTGTCGCTTATACCTGTAATACTAGCTACTTAGGCTGAGATCTAAGGATTAAGGTTTGAAATCAGCCTGGGCAGGAAACTATATGAGATTCTTAACTCCAGTTAACCACAGAAAAGCCTGAAGTGTGGCACAAGTGGTAGAGTGCTAGCCTTGAGCAGAAATGCTTAGGAACAGTGTCCAGTTCAAGCCCTAGTGCAAAAACAAAAACAACCTACAAGTCTTGGAATGTAGTAGGCTTATAGTAAAAGAAGTACAGTTGGTCTAGAAATTCTGTAGAGCAAAAGAACAGTTTCTGTCTTACATTCTAGGAAATGAAAAATCTTCCCCCAAATTATCCCCTGTTCTGTTATCATTCAGCCCACACCTTTTTGTTGTTTAAGCACCTCACAAGAACTCATTACTGGAAGAAAGGTCATTCTGGAGGCTGGTGGTTTTGGCACTGATCTTAATTCAGTTGTTTAAACCATGTACCTGCAGGAGCAAGACTAGCGTGGTGCTCAGGAAGAAGGAAATAGCTCTGTTCAGAACCAAACATGTTGCAAAATGTAGAAACATTCCCGTCCCTTATGCAATACTATTTCCATGGTTCTGTTATCCTTGTCAGTGGCTCATGTTTGCATGCCAAGACACATGCTGGCAGAAGCTTGCCAGCAGAACCCCCATTGAGCCCTTGGGCAGCAGATGACAAAAAACAAAACAAAAATAAGTCCACACCTGAGATCTCCTTGTCACTACATTGAACTTCACTATTGTGAAGCTTTGCATCTCTCTCCTTTGGCTGGATTATTTCTTATTTTATTATTTTCATTCTTATACTTTGTCTTTTTCATCCTTCTTTCTCTCCCCAGCACATCATTTTCTCTCTCCATTGTAAGTAAGGAAGACTTTCTCCCTGATCTCTTGGAGTTAGAGATTTTTTTTTTCTTCCATGTAATTCTTGCCCTCTGGGTTTTGATAGTACTTTCTTCTAATTTTGTACTTTGGCATCTAATAGCAACCCCTCACCTCAACACCAGTTACGAGATAACAGTTCTATAGAAATGTGAGCAGCAGAATTGCCTTGGCATCTGCAAGCCCAGATTCAAAATCTTGAGTGGAGAAGTATAAGAGCTGAAATGTGTTGAGTATTTCTGTTGTACCTGAACAGCATGCTGATCCTGTTGGCATTCCTTCTCCAGTCCCACATAGAAATCATCCATGGCCATGCAGCATTCACAGATGGTCCCCAGCCCATGGTTGAGGTCAATGGGAAAAAATACACCGCTCCTCACATCCTGATCGCCACAGGTGGCAAGCCCTCGCATCCTGATGAGAGCCAGATCCCTGGTGAGTCTTCTAATGCCATTTTTCATAAACACTGGTCAGGAGGGGTTTGCTGTGCATTCAGCCTTACAAGTTATACCATGGGATATGCCCAGTCCAATTTTCCATTGAGAAAGGTCATGAGAGAAGGTTTCTGTGGAACATAAATTTAACTGGCTCTAAGTGGTAATTAATGTTGGGATAAAGAAAGATTTATGTATAAGGCATGATACATTAACTGTTCAAGAGAGAGAAATCTTACATAGGTATAGCTTACCTAGCTACCTGAATAAACCTTTTTATTTTTGTGGTATTTAGGATTTAATCTAGGGCTTTGCATGTTATAGGCACATACTCTGACATATGTTATCCCCTAGTTCATGTTTTTATTTTTATTTTGATAGTTTTCTGAACTGGCATCTACCACTTGAGCTATACCTCCACTGTGGTCTTTTCTGATTATCTTGGGAATGGAATTTAAATCTTTTCTAGATTTCAGCTTCTAGATTAGCTAGGATTACAGGCATAAGCCACTGGCAGTTAGCTTGTATTAGTTGTTTTTGAGATCGGGTCTTGCTTTATGCCAAGGATTTTGATCCTCCCATTTGTGCTTTCTCATCTTGCTAAGATGACAAGCACATGCCATTACATCCAGACATTTATTGAGAAGGAGTCTGAGAACTTTTCTGTGTGTGTCTCTGGCCTCTCTCTTAAACATAGGGCCTGAGCACTGTCCCTGAGCTTTTGTGTTCAAGGCTATCACTCTACCACTTGAACCATAGCTCTGCTTCTGTCTTTGTGGTGATTAATGTGAGATAAGCGTCTCACAGGCATTCCTGTCTGGGTTGGTATCAAAGCCATAATCCTCAGATCTGAACCACCATTGCCTGGCAAGAACACCCTGTGAGAACTTTGTTTTTGTTTGAGCTGGCCTAACTATGATACCCTAACTGTGATTTCAGGCTTGAGTCACTCAAGCCTGAGTGCTTGGCTAAGCCTTTTTTTAAATGTCTGTATTTTGGTCTTATATAGAAAATTATAAAATTAGTAAAGATCCTCAGGGATGGTCATATTTAATCTCTCTCTCTCTCTTTTTTTTTTTTTTTTGGTCTGTTGTGGGACTTGAACTCTGGGCCTGGGCACTGTCCCTCAGCTCTTCAGCCCAAGGCTAGTGCTCTACCACTGGAGCCACAGCACCACTTCCAGCTTTTTCTGCTTATGTGGTGCTGGGGAATCGAACCTAGGGCCTCATGTATACAAGGCAAGCATTCTACCACTGAGCCAGCTTCCCAGCCCCTCATTCTTTTTTATTTATTTTTTTCTATTTCTGTTTGAGAACCACTACATCCCTGACCCATTTCTATTTGAGAACAGCTACATCCCTGGCCCTTCCTTACATTTTATACCCTTAGGAGCTAAGGCTTAGCGATGAACCATTAACATTCCAACAGTCTGCCATATTCTCTCATAAGAAATATTGTCCCACCAGACTCATACCTGTAATCCTAGCTACTGAAGAAGCTGAGATTTGAAGATCTTGGTTTGAAGCCAGCCTGGGCAGGAAAGTCCAAGATACTACTATCTCCATTTAACTACCCAAAAGCCAGAAGTGGAGACATAACTCAAGGAGGTAGAGCACTAGTCTTAAGCATAAAGCTCAGTATTAGCACCCACACTCAGGCCCTGAGTTCAAACCCCAGCACCAAGAAGAAAGAAAGGAAGGAAGGAAGGAAGGGGAAAGGAAAGAAAAGAAAAGAAAGAAATATTGTCCAGAAGAAAGAAAGATTGCTTGTGATGTTTTCCCCAGAGAAATTACAAAGTCTTTATGGCATCATTTAGATGTCTTTCATATTCTTGGTGGCTTTGTAGAGCCCATGACCACCTGAATGTATATGGATGAGTGTGCATTGAGGCACTTCTCTCTAGAGAGAAAAACTATAAATTGGTCATCAGATCTTAAAAGGGTCATAACCTCCAAAGATAAAGGTCAGCCACTGAAAAAGATGAGGGCATACAGTTCTCAAATAATTTAAAATTTAGTTGAGAATATTAAATATAAGCAGTCTTAGTAATACCGGTCTCTGAGATTTACTGATTTACTGTAAACAAAAGGGAAAAGGTAGAATGGTATATAGCATACTCTAGTTTGTATCTTTCTGAAACTGATAAAAGGTCATAGGTGTATATTATAATAGGATACTTAGAAACCCAATAATCATTTGGGCATGAAGCTCAGTGGGAGAACACCTATCTAGCATGTGTCAGACATCAAACCTGTGATCCTGCTGCCTCAGCCTCCTAGACACTAGGACTACAGGCGTATACCACCAAGCCTTGCTCCATCCAACTTTTCTAGCACTGAATTTTGGGGGGGGCTTTTAAATTTTTTTCATTTAAGATATTTATCAGCATATGATAGTTGTACAGGCGGGGGTGTTCAATACAATATATTCCAATCAAACTCATCCCCTCACTTCCCCCTTCTTCAAACAGTTTCAGCAGAGAACATTGTTCTATTTTGGTATACTCATATGAAGACTTCCATCTTATTTACCCTCACTCATTTTCTCTATAATCCCGAAATTCTTGAAGCAATTGCTTTAACTAGTAATTGGAATTGAGCTGGTGCCAAATTCTTTTTTTTTTAAATTGTGAAAATACTGTACAGAGGGGTTACAATTACATGAGCAAGATAATGAGTACATTTCTTATCAAGCATTGTTGCCTCCTCCTTTGTTTCCCCTTTCCATCCCATCCTCCCCCCGCCCCCCCAACTCAATCTTCCCCCACCTCCCCGCACCAAAGTTGTAAAGTTCGTTTTCGACATAACGACTTGTACATCTCATTGTTTCAATGGGTCCACCTGTATCCCCTTCCCCTCCACAAATTATACCGACATCAAATACAGTGAAAGCAGGGGTTATACTGTGGGGGAGGGACATACAAAGCAACAAAGAAATAATCTTATAAATGTGTTAGAAACAATCGCATGAAAGAACAAAAAAAAATTTGAATACATATCTTAGGATTCATTTCCCTAACAGCAACTTATCTGATCTTTTCTGCTTGACTCAGACATACACTAGATATTGCAAATAAGGGAAACCATAGGACCTATGTTTCTTTGGGCCTGGCGTACTTCACTTAATATAATTTTTTCCACGCCTTTCCATTTCCTAGCAAATGGGGCAATGTCATTCTTTCTGATGGAGGCATAGAATTCCATTGTGTTAGATATACCACATTTTCTTGTTCCATTCATCTACTGAGGGGCATCTGGGTTGGTTCCATATCTTAGCTATAGTAAATAATGCTGCAATGAACATAGTCGTGCTGGTAGCTTTAGTATGGTCTTTTTTGTGAACATTTGGGTAAATGCACAAAAGTGGGATTGCTGGGTCATAGGGGAGCTCTATGTGGAGTCTTTTGAGGAAACTCCATACTACTTTCCAAAGTGGCTGAACAAGTTTACACTCCCACCAACAGTGCAGTAAGGTGCTGGTGCCAAATTCTTGAGATTCATGAATCCAGAGAGAAATCTCTAAATGTATGGTGACTATGACAAGTAATTATTGCTTCAGTGCCAAAAATCTAAAGTGTAAATTTTAGAAAGGAGCCTGCCAGTGACTAGAAACAGAGAAACATAATGGATAGAAACTAGTTAGAAAACTGCTGCAAGTATTTCAGGGGATAGGAATATGCCTCTGAATTACTATTTGCACCAGGAATGTGATGGATGGAAATGTCACAGTCCAGTTCTAATGGTTTCTGAGAATGTATTCTATAGCACCAAGGCCTACAAAAGACAGAAGATGAGGGATCGGGTACTGTATCGTTGGCTCCAAGACACATTTATAAAAAATAGTCTTGTCACCTCTGAGATGAAGCTGAGCTTATAATCATAGTGCTTAGATAGGATAAAAATACTCCATACTTAGTAAGTGATGTGTTTTAATAATGGGTGGAAAAGGAATCAGATTGTCAACCCAGGCCTTGTCCAGATTACTGGGAGAAGGTGGTTCCTTTTATTGAAATGGAGAGAGGTTGTGATTTGGAAGATAAGGTTTAATTTTAAGTATATAGGCTGAGCAGCTCTCACCTGAAAGTTCAAAATGTGATACCTTATCATGTATTTGCAAATATTCCAAATCAAAGAAGAAGTTTCAAGTACTATGCCCCTAAACACTTAATATGAAAGATATTCACCTGTGCTGAGTTTGAATCAAAGTAGAATTGCTCCACAGAACAATTAAATATATGGAACTGGAATTTGAGGGAAAACAAAACAAAACAAAACTGGAACTGTTCATTTGGATGTCCACCACAGTTTAGATGAAATTTTTGAAGAAAAGAAAAAGTCAAAAGAGGGCCAAGGCTCAGCTAATAGCTTCCTTCCTACATTTAGGGTTCAGGACATAACAGAGCCATGCAAGAGTCTATTCATGAGAGGTAAAAAAAATCTTGATCCTTTAGAGAAATTAGACATTTAGCCTTCACTGCTACTGTTTTGAGAGAAAATTTTACAACATTCGCTCAAGGAAGTCTTGGTTGGCAGCTTCTAAAGTGGAGACTTTAGCAAAAAGAGTGTATTGATTGTGAAAGTGTTTGGTTCTTGCATAAAATATTGTGCTTATTTAACAAGATAAGCAGTCTTATCTGATCTGTATTGTGTTTATCTACATAGGTGCCAGCCTGGGAATAACCAGTGATGGATTTTTTCAGCTAGAAGAACTGCCTGGGTAAGTAGACTTGGCCTCAAAGATGCATTCTAGGAATCTTTATTCCTTTCTACCTTGCCTGTCTGTTCTTTTTTCCTCCTTTTCATTCTTTTTCTTCCTTTTTCCTATTTGTGTGTGTAAGCACGCACATGCATGTGTGTGTGCGTGCATCGGTGCCAGTACTGAGGTTGTTCCTTAGCTTCATCACTCGAGGCTAGTACTATACTACTTGAGCTACAACTCTGTTCCCGTTTGGCTTTTTGGTGGTTAATTGGACATTAGAGTCTTTCTGACATTCCTGCCCTAATTAACTTCAAACCTGGACATTCCTGCCCTAATTAACTTCAAACCTGGATCCTCAGAGCACAGCCTCTTGAGCAGCTCGGATTACTGTGTAAACCACCATCACCAGCTGTTTTCGTGTATATGTACATGTGTGTGCCCATTCTGGGGCTTGAACTTGGGGCCTGGACATTGTGAGCTTTTTAACTTAAAGTTGGCTCTCTACCACTTGAACCATAGCATTTTGAGACTAGGTTGCTCAGGCTGGTAATGAACCCATGTACTCAAGTGATCCTCCCATCTTAGCCTGAGTTGCTGGGAATGTGGGTACTATACCCAGTAACATTTCTTCCTTCTAACATTTGTTGGAACTTTTAACTGTCCTACCTCTTTTTTTTTTTTGGGTCCGGTTGTGGTACCTGAACTCTGGGCCTGGGCGCCGTCCCTCAGCTCTTCAGCTCAAGGCTAGCGCTCTACCACTTGAGCCACAGCGCCACCTCCAGCTTTTTTCTTTTTGCTTATGTGGTGCTGAGGAATCGAACCCAGGGCCTCATGCATGCAAGGCAAGCACTCTACCACTGAGCCACCTTCCCAGCCCTGTCCTACCTCTTTTTTTGTTGTTGTTGGTCATGGGGCCTAAACTCTGGACCTGGATGCTGTACCTCAGCTCTTCAACTTAAGGCTGGCGCTCTACCACTTGAGCTGCAGTGCCACTTCTGGGTTTTTCTGCTTACATGGTGCTCAGGAATTGAACCCAGGGCCTCATGCATGCAAGGCAAGCCCTCTACCACTGAGCCACCTTCCCAGCCCCTCTTTTTTTTTTTTTTTTGGTCAGAGGATGTTGCAAAGTATTTAGAACTCAAATCAGCTTGATTGTCATCAAGGGATGTGTCTAAAGTAACTGCTGTAATTCTGTAATTCTGGGTTTTCCAAAGCGGTTAGTAGAGAAGAGCCTTTATAAGTCTCTGTCACTGGGACTTGAACTCAGAGCCATGTGCTCTACACTTGGTTTTTTTACTCACAGCTGATGCTCTACCACTTAAACCAGGTCTCAGTGTCCAGCTTTTTGCTGCTAAATTGGAAATAATTCAGTATCTGTCCAGGCTGGCTTTGAAACTTTATCCTCAGATCTCAGCCTCCTGAGTATACACCATGGACCTGACTGACATTATTCTTAGTGTGTAATTGTCTTAATAAAATTTTTGGCATGAATCTAGATTTATAGAGGTGGAAATGGTAATAAGATCATCTCCGTCATTTGAAGGTGCTGCACACTGCAGGCTTTGGGATTAGAGAGATCCTCCTTTCATTCATGGCAAGAGAGGAACAGTAAGAGCTACCTAGAGCCTTAGAATCTGGCCTCTCTCTATGTATGTTGTCCTCTGGAATTAGTATTGTTTAATCTGCTACCTGTTCTGTGCCTGTTGCCAAGCCTGTGTGAACTTCTAAGCAAAGCTTTTACAAGAAAAGCTCTCTGGGATTTTTCAGTGTGTAATGAGTCATGCCTGTACCTTGACCTTAATTCACCCAGAACCCTATACAGGTAACAAGACAAGAAAGCTGTTTTCCAGCTTCATAAATCTTCAGTGAAACTGCCCATGAAGTGGGGCACTGATGACTCATGCTCATAATCCTAGCTCCTCAGGAGGCTGAGATCTGAGGATCACAGGTTCACAGCCAGCCTGGGCAGGAAAATTGTTGAGACTCTTATCTCCAGTTAACCCCCAGATAACCAGAAGTGGTGCTATAGTTCAAAGTGGTAGAGTGCTAGGCTTGAGCAAAAGAATTTAGGAATAGTGCCAGGCCATGAGTTCAAGTTCCACAACTGGAAGAAGAAAAAAAAGTCCCATAAAGGTCTTCAAACTACGCAGTCTTCTGACTTTGAAAAGTTCTGAGAAGAGTATCTGGCCTTCTTAGGTTGTCTGTGAGAGCATGGAAATGCATTAAGAGAACAGCTTTCCTTCCCCTACCTTCTTCCTGAACTGTTTAGTTTCAGGGTTGAGTGGTGCAACACGCATGAGCATGCATCCAGAAATGCGGTCATGATTCACAACACTTAGGTGACATAGTCTAGACTCACCCACTATCCAGTTATAGTATGTCCATTAGCTATTTTAAAATCATTTAATAAACTTACTAACATGAATACAAGCTTAAGGAATGAATTTGTGTAAGTTATAAACAAAAGACTTCGGAACATGAAATGAAAATGAATTGAGCTGGCATTGTTCTTTATGAGTATTTGAGCTGGGTGTGGTGGTATGTGCCTGGAGGCTGAGGCAGAGGAAACAACTGGGCCTAGAAATATGAGGCTAGCCCAAGCCACATAGCAGGTCTCTTATCTCCTAAAGATCTCAACCAGTCAACAATGAAATAACTAGGTAGGGTGGTTCACATCTGTAATTCTACTCCTTGGGAGGAGTGCTTAGGCAGGAATATCATATACCTAACACCACACACACACACACACACAAATATATGTACATATAAAATTTTGATGGTACTGAGGTTTGAACTCTGGACTTTGTTCAGAGTGTTACATCACTTGAGCCACTGTATCAGCCCTTTCCTACACTGGTTATTTTTTCCATAAGGTCTCAATTTTATGTTGGGGTCCAGCCTAGACTAAAACTTCCTATTTATGCTTCCACTAGGTTGCTGGGACCATAGGTGTATGCCTCTGATAGTGTCCTTTTTTTTTGGCCTAGACTAGCTTCAAACTGTGATCCCCTGATCATTACCTCCCAACTATCCAGGATTACAGCTTGAGCTACAAACCAGGTTATATTTTGCTTTAAAAGTTCCTTCCCTTTATTTCTCCTGAGAAGATACAAAAACTGTTGAAACTAGAAATGATTCTTTGAGCAATAATCCTTGCACCTAAAACTATGTGTGTATACATGTATATACACGAATATATATACACACATACACACTATCTACAAAGGAATATTTCCTATTTAAAACTGCAATGTTGGTACTGATGGCTCATGCCTAAAATCCTAGCTACTCAGGAGGCTGCAATGTGAAGATTTGCAATTTAAAGCCAGCCCAGCAGGAAGGCTGTGATTAACCAGGAAAAAAGCTAGAAGTAAAGCCATGGCTCAAGTGGTAGAGCAGTAGCTTTGAACACAAAAACTCAAGGACAGTGCTCAGGCCTTGAATCCAAATCCCAGAACTGACACCAACAATAAATAAAACTGCAATGTGGTGTTTGGACAGAAAAGGAAATTGCATTTTTTTAAAAACCAGTCTTGGGGCTTGAACTGAGGGCCTGGGCACTGTTCCTGAGCTGCTTTTGTTCAAGGCTAGCACTCTACCACTTGAGTCACAGTACTACTGTGACTGGCTTTTTCTGTTTATATGGTACTGAAGAATTGAACCCAGGGCTTCATGCATGCTAGGCAAGCACTCTACCACTAAGCCATATTCCTAGCTTAGGAGATTGTATCTTGAGAGGTAGAATAAAGGAGATGACTGAAAAAATCAGTCAGTAATAAGGTACTAATGCCAGTTTCTAGTTTTGACAAATGTACTATGGCTATAAGGGGAAACTGAGCAAAGAGCAGAAAGGAAATCTCATATTATCTTTGCAACTTGTTCACAAACCTAAAATTATTTCAAAGTCAATTTATTTAAAAATGTTAACTGTCTGCTCTTCAGCCGCAGTGTCATCGTGGGTGCAGGCTACATTGCTGTGGAGATAGCTGGCATCCTGTCTGCCCTCGGCTCCAAGACATCACTCATGATACGGCACGATAAGGTAAGTCCAGGCCTCTCCCTTCCCTGTCCTTAACTTTTTTCCTTTTTCTCTTTCTTTCTTTCTTTCTTTCTTTCTTTCTTTCTTTCTTTCTTTCTTTCTTTCTTTCTTTCTTTCCTTCCTTTCCTTCCTTTTTTTTTTTTTTTTTGTCAGTCATGAGGCTTGAACTCTGGGACTGAGCGCTGTCCCGAGACCTTCAGCTCAAGGCTAGTGCTCTACTGCTTAAGCCACAGCACCACTTTCAGTTTTCTGGTGGTTTATTGGAGATAAGAGTCTCAGGGACTTTCCTGCCAGGGCTGACTTTGAACCGCAATCTTCAGATCTCAGCCCCCTGAATAGCTAGGATTACAGACATGAGCCACTTCCCGTGGATCATTTCACAGGAAAGGCTGGCCCCAGATACTAAACAGAGGCAGAGGAGTTTTGTTCCCTAGACCTGGAAGGAGAGGAATAGGAAGTTAGAGAGTCCTGAAGGTTGATTCTTCATTTTTTTTAACTTAAATAAAACAGGAGTTGATAAAAAAAAAAAGTCAAATGTAATACAGACACATAGTGGTGGCATAGGAAAATAGAATATTTATTGTAACTCTGTTTGCAATACAAGCAAGACCTAAGAAGAAGGATGATTCAGTACTGAAATCTCTCTCAAGTTTCTAGTATGCCATATCCATACACACACAGACATACATATACACACATATATATGTATACACATAAACATATGCTATATTATACATACATGCACTGATGTTTTATTAAGATAAAAATATTGGGTTGTTTGAACCTAAAAAATATTAGTAATAGCCTGGCATGGATGGCTCACACCTATAATCCTAGCTACTCAGGAGGCTGTGATCTGAGGATCAAGGTTTGAAGCCAGCCTAGGCAAGAAAATCCGTGAGACTCATCTCCAATTAACCACCAGAAAACCAGAAGTGAAACTGTGGCTCAAGTGGTACAGACTAGCCTTGAGCACAGAGAGGCTCAAGGACAGTGCCCAGGCTCTTGAGTTCAAACCCCAGGACTGGCCAAAAAAAAAGAAATCTAAAAGAAAACAAATTAAAATTAGGAGAAAAAAAAAGTTAGAAATGTACATTCTTCCTGCAACATATTTTTACCTCTTAGCCAAAAAATGCTGAAAGAACTCTTTGTTTTCAGATGACAACACTCAGGGAAACAAAAACAAACTAATAGGGAGGCTGAAGGGAGGCAGAGAAATAGAGGAACATAGGGTGAACAGATGCAGCAGTGCTACTCACTAGACACTAGGCTGAGAATGAACTATACAAACTGAGGTTGGGCACACTGGGAGAGAGCAGTGGAAGGGGTGACATTGTCCAAAAAGAAATGTACTCTTTGCCTGACTTACATAACTGTAACCTCTCTGTACACTGCCTTTAAAATAACAATTAAAAAATACATTCTGAAAACAATACAAAATATGTAACTACTGTATACAAGATATTAAAAATATATAATGAATGTAAAATATCTGATTCAAATATATAAATTAATTGCTTGACTATGGACATATTGTAAAGATTTTTCTAAGTTTTTAGTGTGAAAATTTTTACATATATTGAAAAGTACAAGAAATACTGTCTATACTTGCATTTACATTTTTGACACTGAATTTGAAAATATTACACATCATGTAGCATGTCTGTCTTTATTTTTTATCTTTGAGAAGTTTGTAGCATGTCTTCAATCAACTTTTATTTCTTTGCCTCCATTCCTCTTCTGCCTGTCTTGTCTGCAGGTCCTTAGAAATTTTGATTCAATGATCAGTTCCAACTGCACGGAGGAGCTGCAGAATGCTGGTGTGGAGGTCCTGAAGTACTCACAGGTATGTGAGAGCCCTTCCTCATCTGTTGCTCAGGGATCACAAGTCTTGCTTTTGGCTCTACTCAACTAGTTGTTCATTGTTGTTATTGTTAACTTTTGTTTCCATTGAGGGAGGTGGAACCAGGACCTCACACATATCAGAAAAATACCTCTGAGCTACAGTGCAGCCCTCAGTCTTGGGGCATGAACTCAGGACCTGGATGCTGTTCCTGAACTTTCGCTCAAGGATAGCACTCTACCACTTGAGCCCTGCAGCTCCAATCCTAGCTTTTGGGGTAATTTATTGGAGATAAAGTCTCACAGATTTTTCTGCCCAGTTTGGTCACCAGTATCCAGCTCCCGTTACTTGTTTTATAAACATAAACTCTGCATTTACCTCTTTCTACGTCTAGACTACTGCCAATTTTTTTCTTCCTTTAGCACTGTTTTACATTAATGTGTTAATAGAGTGAATTTATAAAAGTAGAAGCTGAGTGCTGGTGGCTCACACCTATAATCCTAGCTACTCAGGAGGCTGAGCTCTGAGGCTTATGTTCAAAGCCAGCTTGGGCAGACTCTATCTCCAGTTAACACCCAGAAAATCAGAGGTGGCACTGTGGGTCTAAGTGGAAGAGCACTGGCCTTGAACAAAAGTGGTCAGGGACAGTGTACAAGCCCCATGACCAACAATAACAACAAAAAAAAAAAGATTAGAAACCTGGCAGTTGAATTTACAACTAAAACATGGATGTTTATGCTCCGGTACCATTTTTCAAGTTTATATTCATTTTTCAGGGAATAATGTAGAATCTTTTTTTTTTTTTTGCCAGTCATGGGGCTTGAACTCAGGCCTGGGCACTGTCCCTGAGCTTTTTTTGCTCAAGCACTCTTCCATTTGAGCCACAGCACCACCTCTAGCTTTTTCTGTTTATGTGGTACTGAGGAATCAAACCCAAGGCTTCATCCATGCTAGGAAAACATTTTACCACTAAGTCACATTCCCAGCCCCTGGAATCAATTTTTAATGCATATAACAGTTTGAATTTTGTAGATACAATTATCAAATACTTTGTTTTCAGAAAATCATTTGAAGTTCAGCAGACTTTTTTTAACCTTGTAAAAAATGCTTTTTCCCTACTGAGAAATGCTTCCCTTTCAGCAATAGACCATGTCAAATAAAATGGTGAATAAGAACAATGCTTTGTGGGTGCAAAAATGCTGGTCTAGGGCTTTCATTAGACTGTATCATTGGCCCTCTGGATCTACACATCCAACTATGGATTAAAAAATACATGGATTACACTGGGCGCCAGTGGCTCAAGCCAGTAATCCTAGCTATTCAGGAGGCTGAGATATGAGGATCAAGATTCAAACCCAGCCCCAGCAGGAAAGTCCATGAGACTCTTATCTCCAGAAAACTGGAAGTGCCTCTTTGGTTCACTTGGTAGATCACTAGCCTTGAACAAAAACAGCTCAGGGACAGCACCCAGGAACTGAGTTCAAACCCCATGACTGACAAAAATAAATAAAACCCACAGATTTATTAGTTATACAAGAAGGATTTTTATTCATTCATTCATCTTGTGCCAGTCCTGGAGCTTGAACTCAGGGCTTGGGCACTGTCCCTGAACCCTTTTGTTCAAGGCTAGTGTTCTACCACTTGAGCCACAGTGCTACTTTTCAGCTTCTTTTGTGCTTCATTGGAGATAAGTCTCAAGGACCTTCCTGCCAAGATAACTTTGAACCTTGATCCTCAAATCTTGGCCTCCTAAGTAGCTAGGATTACAGGTGGGAGCCACTGGTATCTATCTGGCTCAGGAAGGGAGGGATTTTATTATTACTTTTCTATAGTATATACAATGTATTCAATCAGTCTCACCCCTCTATTACTCTCCCTTTCCTCCCTCCTAAAACTTTAACAGATTGGATTGTTTTATTTTCATAATTGCAAGCAAACTATTTTGACAATATTCAACCTCCTTCTTTTTGTTCACCCAACCCCTTCTTTTTTTTTTTTTATTTTAAATAAAACATTTTAATTCCAACTATAGCAAGGTTGGTAGATATAAAATGTGTACATCCCAACCCCTTCTTGTTTTGTGTGCTACTTTCCCCCTCCCCACAACAGAGCCCATCTGTCTTTCTGGATTAAAAATATTTGGGGAAAGCCAGGCTGGTGGCTCACGCCTGTAATCTTAGCTACTCAGGAGGCTGAGATCTGAGGATCACGGCTCAAACCAGCCTGGGCAGGAAAGTCCATGAGACTCTTATCTCCAATAAACCACCAGAAAACTGGAAGTGGTGCTGTGACTCAAGTGGTAGAGCACTCAACCTTGAACTGAAGAGCTCAGGGACAATGCTAGGACTATCGTTCAAGCCCCACAACAGACAATATATATATATATTTGGGGAAAAAATGGTATCTGAATTGAACATGTACATGCTTTTTGTCATTATTCCCTAATTAATAGATTCTGGTAACTTTTTTACATACTAGCATTTAGATTGGTATTATAAGGGGTCTGAAGAGGACTTACAGTGTTCAGGAGGATGAACTCTATGCAAATCTGGGCTGGGAAGGTGGCTCAGTGGTAGAGCGCTTGCCTTGCATGCCTGAGGCCCTGGGTTCAATTCCTCAGCACCACATAAGCAAAAAGAAAAAAAGCCAGAAGGTGCTGTGGCTCAAGTGGTAGAGCGCTAGCCTTGAGCTGAAGAGCTGAGGGACAGCACCTAGGCCCAGAGTTCAGGCCCCATGACTGGACCAAAAAAAACAAAACAAAACTCTATGCAAATCTGTGCAAATACTGGTCTATTTTATGTAAATGACCTTGGCATTTAAGGATTTTCATATCTGTGGAGGATCCTGAAACTAGTCCCCTGTAGCTACTAAGGGATGACTATATAGTGGTTGTCCTTCACAGTCTCTTGTTCCTTTCCTCCATTCTGATAGTGCATGTTTGGGGAGGAATGATGACCATGCAGTTTGGAAGAGTTTCCTAGTTAAAATTGCTTTTAAGCTACTGCACTTAGATGTGTGACTTAAAATATTACCACAGTTTTGAAGAAGTACACACAGAAATACTTCATTTTTAAGCTTCAGCATTTCAGTGGTGACTTGAGCTGACATTCCCAGTCATTGTATAGAAATTCTGGGTTGGTGCCTTTGGCTAAGAGTGAAAGTCTATCTCAGTTACAGGTTTCAGTGTGGATTTATTGAAGTTGTTTAAAATTCTAGTTCCCTCTTTACTTGCTTTTTTTGTATCTTCCACTCCTCTTCTCTCCTTCCACCCCCCATTAACAAACACATTTTATTTGTCAATAGGTCAAGGAAGTTAAAAAGACTTCATCAGGCTTGGAACTCTGCATGGTTACTGCAGCTCCTGGTAGAAAACCCACCTTTACCACAATTCCACAAGTGGACTGCCTTCTCTGGGCCATTGGGCGGGATCCAAATTCCAAAGGCCTGAATTTAAACAAACTGGTAAGATGACTCATTTTGCCTCTCTTGGAGATGTTAGTAGTCTTGTGGTCCCCTCCATATAAAACTTGGGTGGATTCTACTGATTTTCTCCTGGTTCCATGTATCCACTTAGTCATCAAGTCCTAATACTTTGGAAATAGTTTCCCTTTCCAGAGTGATCACCTGTGTCAGGTCCCTGCTGAAGTTGGAAGGATTCTGATCTAGCTTTCCAGCAGTCTTACATTACTATGTGAATGTTATTTGAAAATCCTATACTGATTCCACCATACTGTCCGCAGTATCTAATGTGGATTGCTGAGTATAGCTTTCAGTCTAGACATTGTGGTGCTCTGGGATGGGAAGCTGTCTCTCTCTTTATTCTGCCAGTGCAGTTTACACAGACAACATCCTTTGTTCTTTGAAATTTTGAAGGGAAGTCTAATAAAGTTACTTGGATGTTCTCAGAGTTTGACCCAAATTCAAGTTCTCTTACTTCAAGTTGCTTAGCCTTGAGCATTTTGTTTTTTTCCGATAGTCTATTACTTCAGATACAAGATGGGATTATAGTAATGAGAAAGTGCTTGCAAAGTAGTTAGCCTAATTGAACACAAGTTAATCTGTTGTTGATGCTCTGGATAAATTTTCTGGTATGTAATAGTATTCTGTGAACAACAATAGGGTATTTTTTGCAGAGAGAAGCAAAGCCTTGTGATTGGAGACAAATAATTCACCACCTGAGCCATGCCCCAGCCTCTTTTTCTTTGTTTGTTTTGTTGTTGTTGTTTGTCAGTTGTGGGCCTTGAACTCAGGGCCTGACTGCTGTCCCTGAGCTGTTTTGCTCAAGGCTAGCCACTCAACCACTTGAGCCACAGTGCCACTTCTGGCCTTTTCTGCTTATTTGGTGCTGAGGAATCAAACCCAGGGCCTCATGCAAATAAGACAAGCACTCTACCACTGAGCCACCTTCCCAGCCCAGGACTTGATTATTCTAAGCATACAGTTCACCACTGAGCTCCAAAGTTTGTTTGTTCATTTTTTAATTTACTTTATTTTATTTTTTGCCAGTACTAGAGCTTGAACTCAGGCCTGGGCGCTGTCCCTTAGCTGTTTCACTCAAGGCTGGCATTCTACCACTTGAGCAACATCTCCTCTACTTAGGTGGTTAATTGAGTCTCTTGGGCTGGCAATAATCAGATCTCAGACTCATTACTAGCTGAGATCACAAGTCTGAGCCACCAGCACCCAGCCCAAAGTTGGTTTTTTTTTTTGGGGGGGGGGGGCGGGTTTGGCCAGTCCTGGGGCTTGAACTCAGGACCTGGACACTGTCCCTGAGCTTCTTTTGCTCAAGGCTAGCCACTCTACCACTTGAGCCACAGCACCACTTCTGGCTTTTCCTGTTTATGTGGTACTGAGGAATTGAACCCAGAGCTTCATGCGTGCTAGTTAAGCACTCTATTACTAAGCCATATTCCCAGTCCCCCCCAAGTTGTATTCCAAATTACTGTGCTGCTCTACATAAGCCACTATGCTTCTTTCTTCTGCTTATTTCAGCTTCTTACACCACAATATATCTAAGAGACAAGATAAGCATAACATATCTCAAAGCAAAAATAACTCCACATGTAAGAAAACAATTCTGATTTTGAGAAACATCAGTATGTTTTATTCTATCTTGCTTCTTTTTTCCAGTCTTGGGTCTTGAACTCAGGGCCTGGGCACTGTCCCTCAGCTTCTTTTGCTCAAGGCTAGCAGTCTACCACTTGAGCCACAGCACCACTTCTGGCTTTTTCTGTTTATGTAGTAGTGAGGAATCAAACCCAAGGCTTCATGCATGCTAGGCAAACATGCTACCACTAAGCCACATTCCCAGCCACTCTCTTTTTTTTTTAATGTTTTAGGGCACGATGGACACTTTACTTGAGTTTTAAAAATAATAAATAGTAAACTTCAAAGGAGCGTGTCTTTGGTGGCTCCTTTAGGCCATGTTGTATCTCTCAGTGGTAGGAGACATCTGGTCTGTGGGCTGTCTAACGGCTGTGAAATAATTTGTTATATGATGGGACAGGCATTTCTGTTTTTTGAGTGCTTCTCTTCAGCTGCTCATATTAATTTTTTATGGCCCATAAATGATATTATAAGATTACATGGACCTGGGCACCAGTGGCTCACAGGCTATAATCCTATCTACTCAAAAGACTGAGATCTGGAGGATCTTGGCTTGAAGCTAGCCAGAGCAGGAAAGTTCAGGAGCCTCCATCTCTAAAATAACCAGCAAAAAGGTAGGGTTGAGCCCTGGGATCAAGTGGTAGAGTGCCAGTTGAGCAAGTAAGCAGCCCACTCCAGTGTGAGACACTGATTTCAAATCCCTATCCTGCAGATAAATAAATAAAATGACATTTGATAAAAAAAAAAAAAAAAAGATCCTCACTCATACAAGGGTTAACTTGCTTCAAGAGAAATACTTCCATGGAAACACAGAAATTCACAACCAAATAAAACCCATAGAGTTAATAAGTAGTATGTACAATAATCCAATTATTTCATGTTTCCTGACCAGATGAATTATATGTTGCAGTGTCAAATCCTGTTAAATTCTCAAAGTTCTGTTAAATATTTGACCGTTTACATTAGGCCAAAGATAGACTTAGGGATGTTTGGATTGAAGGTGTGCCACAGTGTAGCAGATTTAGAGGTTTAATGTGACATTTTTAGTAGATGGGCTCAGTATCTATAATATGTCCTTTCATAATTTCAGGGGATTAAAACTGATGAGAAAGGTCATATCATTGTAGATGAATTCCAGAATACCAATGTCAAGGGCATCTATGCAGTTGGAGACGTCTGTGGAAAAGCTCTTCTGACTCCAGGTAATGTGTCTTCTGTTCTTGGAAGAGAGGCCGGGAGTAGTGCTACATTAAACTCATGCTAGATTCCACTCCATCACTGTGTAAAGGGTGAATGTCTTTATGTTGTCAAAATAGTAGAAATGTAATGAAATAGATGTTGGTTAGGGATCTGACATTTTCTGGATTTTTTTTTCCTTTAAAGACTTAAATGCTCACTGGAGACTTTCATTTTCATATAATGACCCTTTCGTGTATGTTACCCTCTGAAGACCTCTCTGAGTTGTGGAGACAGTGAAAGTGTGTGTTAGAGGTAATTTAGGTTAGCTTTGTATGAGTGGTCTTGATAGAACCAAGTCTGGCTCCTCTTCTTCCTTCCTTCACCCTGTTCCTCAACCCTTTGCCTGAGTTGCTGGGCACAGGGACACATTTGAATCAATCTGTCTGTCTGTCTGTCTCCCTCCCCATCTTTCGTCTCACCTCTCTCGTCTTGTCTCTCATCTCTCTCTTGTCTCTCTTTTTCTTCCCCTGTGTGTTTTTGGTTTTGCATTTTACTGGAGCGGGTCACTATCCTGAGCTTTTTTGCCCAAGGCTAGCAATCTGCCATTTGTGCCACATTTCCACTTCTGGCTTTTTGGTGGTTAGTTGGACTATGAGTTTCACAGACTTTATTGCCTGAGCTGGCTTTGAACCATGATTCAGATCTCAGCTTCCTGAGTAGCTAGGATTGCAGGCATGAGCTAACAGCATCCAGCTATTTTGGGGATTTTTTTTTTTTAATCAGGGTTTCACTATATATCTATATATCTCAGTGTGGCCTTGAGCCCCCTATGTTTATATAGTCCAGGCTGGTCTTAAACTCCCAATCCTCCTGCCTCTCCTCCCAAGTGCTGGGATTATAAGCATACACCAGCGTGCTTGGCTTATATTTAAGTTAAATAAAAATTACATGTATTTATATTGAACAACATGATATTTTGTTGAGGACTAAGTTTAATTAATTAGCTTATATGCTACCTCATACTTTTTGTTGACAAGACCACTTAGTCTTAAAAATGTTAGGTACACAATACATTGTTACTAGCAAGAGTCACTATTTGTACAATAGATCCCTTGAATTTATTTGTACTAATTGAAATTACTTTTTTAATTTTTTTGTTGGTCATGGGGTTTGAACACTGGGCCTGGGCACTGTCCCTCAGCTCTTCAGCTCAAAGTTAGTGCTCTACTACTTGAGCACAGTGCTACTTCCAGCTTTTTCTGCTTATGTGGTGCTGAGGAATTGAGCCCAGGGCCTCATACACGCAAGGCAAACACTCTACCACTGAGCCACCTTCCTAGCCCCTAATAAAAGTTGTAGGACTTCATAGCACAATCATTAAATTCTGTGAAGGTAGAAGAAATTTCCTCTATATCTTACTGGTAACTGATAAAATGAATATTTTTTTTTACTGAAGCAGGAATTCTTTTGCAGACTGTTAAGAATAAAAACTAGCTAAGGGAGAGTAAATTTTTGGTTTTGAAATTGTACTATAAAATAAATGTAATTGTAAGGTAAAGGAGAAAATGTACAAAACTAATATAATTTGTTCCATATTTTCTCTGAAAACTAATATTCTTATTAAATTTCCAAGTGTCTCTTTTTTATAATAGAATGTTCAGGATTCACAAAGCTCAAATTAGCATTGACATGAAACTTTTGCCAGTACTACTGCACAAAGCCATATAAATGGGGTTAATGGGACAATACTCCTGTTAAAATGAACAATAAACCAGGCACTGGTGGCTCGCGCCTATAATCCTAGCTCCTTAGGAAGTTGAGATCTAAGGATTACCAGTTTGAAACCAGCCCAGGCAGGAAAGCCCATGAGACTCTTATCTATAATTAATTACTCAGAAAAGGCCAGAAGGGGCTCTGTGGCTCAAGTGGTAGAGTGCTAGCCTTGAGGACAGAGTGGCTCAGGGACAGTGCCCAGGGCCTGAATTCAAGTCCCAGGACTGGCAAAAAAGAAAGAAAAATAAGATAAACACTGATTTTAATATATCTTTGCAGTTGCAATAGCTGCTGGCCGAAAACTTGCCCATAGGCTTTTTGAATGCAAAGAAGATTCCAAATTAAACTATGACAACATCCCCACTGTGGTCTTCAGCCACCCTCCTATTGGGACCGTGGGACTCACAGAAGGTAAGTTTGCAGGTGAAGGTCATTCATGGCTGGCTTCTTTTAAGTCTCAACCATGCATTAAATTTATCTCAGTCTCCCTTCAAGTGACTATTCTTATTTAGTATTTTCTTTTCTTTTTTTTTTTTGGTCCAGTTGTGGAGCCTGAACTCTGGGCCTGGGCGCTGTCCCTCAACTCTTCAGCTCAAGGCTAGCGCTCTACCACTTGAGCCACAGCGCCACTTCCGGCTTTTTTCTTTTTGCTTATGTGGTGCTGAGGAATTGAACCCAGGGCCTCAGGCATGCAAGGCAAGCGCTCTATCACTGAGCCACCTTCCCAGCCCTTATTTAGTATTTTCTAATCAGTTACAATTTACTTATTTCCCCATTTGCAATACTTTTGTGAGCACTGTTTGTTTTTCTTCTACAACCTTGTTTATTTTCTAATTCTAAGCTTTTTGTTGTTGTTGCTATGCTAGGACTTGAACTCAGGTCTTCACACTTTTGCTTTACCTTTTTTTTTTTTTTTTTTTTGTTCGGTCGTGAGGCCTGACCTCTGGGCCTGGGTGCTGTCCCTCAGCTCAAGGCTCAAGGCTCTACCACTTGAGCCACAGTGCCACTTCCAGCTTTTTCTGCTTATGTGGTGCTGAAGAATTGAAGCCAGGGTCTCATACATGCATGGCAAGCACTCTACCACTGAGCCAGCCCTGTTTTAGCATTTTTGCTCAAGGCTGGCTCTCTACCATTTGAACCACACCTCCATCTCCAGCTTTTTGCTGGATAATTGGAGATAAGATACTCTCCAGTTTGTCTGCTGTGGCTGGCTTTGAACCTCAGTTCTCAGATCTTAGCCTCTTCAGTAACTCTGATTATAAGTGTGAACTGCCATACCTATTTGTTTTTTCATATAAACTACTTTCAAAGTTACAAAGAGTACAGGGTATTCTCATAGAGCTTTAATATTTTTGCTTTGTTATTTGTCCAGTAATCAAACACACACACAGTATCCTTTTTTCTGGGGGGGGGGTCCATGGGTCCATTGCAGGACTTGAACTCAGGGCTTGGACGTTGTTTCTGGGCTTCTTTATACTCAAGGCTAGCCCTCTACCACTTGAGCCTCATCACCACTCCCAGTTTTTGAGTGTTTAATTGGAGATAAGAGTCCCACAGGACATTTCTGCCTGGGATGGCTTCAACAATCTCAGCCTCCTGAGTAGCTAGGATTACAGGCATGAGCCACAGGCACCTGGCTTGAGTATATATTTTTTAAAGAACAAAACTACTAGTTGTGCACTGGTGGTTCATGCCTATAATCCTAGCTGCTCACGAGGCTGAGATCTGAGGATTGACATTCAAAGCCAGCCCGGGCAGGAAAGTCTGTGAGATTCTTTTGTTGTTGTTATTGTTGATCATGGGCTTAGAACTCTGGGCCTGGGCTCTTCAGCTCAAGGCAAGCACTCTACCACTTGAGCCACAGCACCACTTCCACCTTTTTCTGCTTATGTGGTGCTGAGGAATTGAACCCAGGGCCTCATGCATGTGAGGCAAGCACTCTACCACTGAGCCACCTTCCCAGCCCCAGTGAGATTCTTATCTCCAATTAAATCACAGAAAAAGCTGGAAGTGGCATTGTGGCTCAAGTGGTAGAGCGCTAGCCTTGAGCAAAAGAAGCTCAGGGACAGTGCTCAGGCCCAGCCTGAAGACCAGCACACACACACAAAAAGACAGAATTGTTTCCATACATCAACAGAATGCAGTTTTGAAGATAACAATATTATCTTGAACTTTAGACCTTATGCAAATTGTGCCAAGTATCACAAATGTAATTTTCAATAATTTTTCCTCACATCTAGAATTTAGTCCAGCGTTTATGTATTTTTTTGGGGGGTGGGGAGGGTCAGTCCTGGGTCTTGAAATCAGGGCCTGGGCAGTGGCCCTGAGCTTCTTTTGCTCAAGGCTAGCACTCTACCACTTGAGCCACAGCACTACTCCCAGCTTTTTCTGTTTATGTGGTACTGAGGAATTGAACCAAGGGCTTCATTCGTGCTAGGCAAGCACTCTAACACTAAACCTCATTCCCAGCTCTGTCCTTTTTTTTGCTCAAGTCTAGGGCTCTTCCCCTTGAGCCACAGCTGTACTTCCAAGGTTTTTGTTTTGTTTTTTCTTTTGCTGGTTAATTGGAGATAAGTCTCATAGACTCTGTGAAACTGCAATCCTCAAATTTCAGCCTCCTGAGTAGCTAGGATTATAGGCGTGAGCCATTGATACCTGGCTTGAAAGATGTTTTTTAATATATGTTATAGATGAGGCTGTTCATAAATACGGAAAAGACAATGTGAAAATCTACTCCACCACCTTTACCCCAATGTACCACGCAGTGACCACAAGGAAAACAAAATGTGTGATGAAAATGGTTTGTGCTAACAAAGAAGAAAAGGTATGGGTGAACTTCTGTCTTTTATGTCTTTTGGAGTTCATAATATTTTTATTTAGAAACGCCTACTCTTTTTTTTATGCCAGTCCTGGGGCTTGAACTTGGTGCTTGGACACTGTCCCTGAGTTTTTGTACTCAAGGCTAGCACTTTACAACTTGATCCATAGCTCCACTACTGACTTGTTAGTAGTTAATTGGAGATAGAGTCTTATGAACTTTCCTGCCTGGGCTGGCTTTGAACCATCAGCCTCCTGAGTAGCTGGGATTATGGGCATGATCCATTGGTGCCTCAATATTGGGTTTAAAATAGAACCTCACACTTCCTAGACAGGTATTCTACTCCTTGCCAACCAACCCTAATATAAGACATTTTAAATTTAACATAAACGTTTATTTTGGATATTGTATAGTTCTACAATATGACTGGAGAAGGCGAGAGGAAACAAGGCAAGAATGCTCAGAGCCAATAGGCTTAGTTACATTGGATTGGGATTAGAAATATTATAGAATATTTATTCATTATTATTAAGTAGTTGGTTACAATCCCTAAGTTGGGTTATCAGTACAATGTGTCTTGGTCAGTGTCACTCTTTCTTTGTTTTCCCCTATTTCTCCCCTCTGGTCCCTCCTCTCAAGTTACATAGTTGAAGGGCCTTGCACATGCTAGACAAGTACTCTTATCAACCCTAGCCTTAGGCATTTATTTGTCCAATGTCCTATCTCCCATGGCTGTGTACCTAGTAAAATGCCACTTTCTTTTTCCCCAGGTGGTTGGGATCCATATGCAGGGAATTGGGTGTGATGAAATGCTGCAGGGCTTTGCTGTGGCAGTAAAAATGGGAGCAACAAAGGCCGACTTCGACAACACGGTTGCCATCCATCCTACCTCTTCAGAAGAACTGGTCACACTCCGTTGAGAACCCAGAGACTTACATGGCTCTCAGCTGGACCAGTAAACTTCTGAGATGAACCAAATGATCCTCTTTGCTTCCTGTTCCAGTTTTATATATTCCTTTATTTCAATCAGGATCTTCTGACAGTGGAAATTTTTAGTAAAGAATGGAACATATTTATGTGATCAGAATATTTTTTTTTGTTAATGTAGGCTTGATTTTCATTTGATTTATATGTCACAATAATAATATGAAGCACAATGTAATAGTATGAAGCACAATGAAGTTCATGTATGTATTTGTATGACTGTAGCTTGCTGGTTTTTTAGATGGAGTTTCCTGATCTAGCCAGGCTGGTTTCAGACTCAGTCCTCCTATCTTGGCTTCCCTCTACCTTCCCACTGGGGCTTAAACTCAGAGCCTTGTGCTCATTCAGCTCACTCAGCTGGCTTTCTACCATTTGAGCTATGACTCTAGGCCGCTTTTTGGTGGTTAATTGGAGATCGAGTGTTGAGGACTTTTATACCTTAGCTGAGTTGAATATTGATCCTTCAGGTCTCAGACTCCTTAGTAACTAGGATTACAGGAGAAAGCCATTGATTGTTGCCTGTGTATGTCCTGGTGTCTTGAGTATTGGAATTAGTCATGAACCTACACCCCCAGCCCAGCCTGCTAGTTTTTCAAGTTGAAAATGATGGAAGCTCTTGATACATAAATATTTTAATGCACATTCTTTTTTTTTTGTTATGTTTTTTGAAGCCAGCAATGTGCTTTGCGTATTGCAAATCTGTTTCAAGGATGTGACCTTTCTCTAATTGCCCAGTTATATTCTTTCTTTTGTTTTCAGTGACTTTAATGATTGTTATTTTTTAAAATTATTTTTATGAGATAAAGTACATCAAACTTAGGAAAGACTTGAGGCCAGTTCAGTAAGAGTCCCACTTTCAGGAGGTAGACTCAACCATTTCTGAAGTCTGTTTCTCTGCTAAGAGTTTATAGTTCAATGAATACTTTTAATACTTGTATTTGGTTTTTGTTCTTTTATTTTCCCCTGAAAACTATCCCACACATTTGAAAATTATAGCCTTTTCTTCTTATAAAAAATTCAATATTAATTCAGTTGGCACCAGTTTTATTTCTTACACTGAAGAGCGGATACCAGCCCTTATAGAAGAGAAAGAGATGTTCATTAAAAATATTAAATAGAGATACCAAAGAAACATTTAGCAGATTAATGGTTGAGTTGGAACAGCAGCCTAGAAATCACTTTTAGCATTATATTTCTACTGTCTTGATTATCAAGTAGATAAGCTAAAGTTTGCTTGTTCTTGTTATTTTCTGCTATGATAGGGGTTTAATGTCAGAGCCTGAAACTTGCTAGGCTAGTACTCTGCCACTGAAACACATATCCTGGTTCTTTTGCTGTTAGTTAGCTTTGCAGAATAAGGTCTTGCCCAGATCCAGGGTAGCCTGACACCATAATCCTCCTATCCTCTGCTTTCCATGTAGCTGGGACCACATGCGCTCACCACTATCTCCAGCTTGTTTTTTGTGATAGGGTCTGGCTATTTTTTACTCAAACTGTCTCCTGAGTAGCTGGGATAACAGCTGTGTTCCACTGAGCCTGGCCTTAGGTTTTTCTGAGGCATTCATTAGTTACACAGTGCTACTGAATTCTTTCTTTGTGCATGTGCCAGTTCTGGGGATTGAACTCAGGGCCTAGGCACTATCACTGAGCTTCTTTTGCTCAAGGCTAGCATTCTACCACTTGGGTCACAGCTCTACTTCTAGCTTTTTTGGAAGTTAATTTGAGATAAGAGTCTCAGACTTTCCTTTCTTGGGCTGACTTCAAATCACAATCCTCAGATCTAAGCCAAGTATTACAATGTGAGCCACTAACACCTGGCATTTGCTTTGTTTTGTTTGTTTTTTTTTTTGGTGCTGGAGGTGGAACCTGGAGCCCTTGGCATACACAACACTTACTTTGTTTCTGAGCTACACTGTACCCAGCCCCACCTAACACCAAGTGTTTTTAGAGATACATATCCTTAGTGCTTTGTGCTGCTTCTATAGTAAACCAACAGGAAAACAGCTTTCACTGGGTTCCAGCTTTCCTTTTCATCAGTCTTCAAATTGACCCAGCTTTTGAGAGGATCTGACATATCCTCCTTTCTTATCCAAAACACAGCACACAGATACACAGGTAAATGTAGCACATTGCAGATCCTTGATATTTATTGAAAGAAAGGTGTGATACTTCATTTCAAGTAAGCTTCTAGTCTAGAGAGAGAAACTACTCCTGTACTAACAGGACAGTTAAACCTGTTAAATCCATTTGGTCTATTGATTGGCATGGGACACTTTGAAGACTTAAGGGAGATACTACTCATAATTGAGTCATAGCCACAAATTTCAACTCTCCCAAAGAAATGAGTGGCAACTGTGATTTCATAGTAACTTGATAACTATGGTTAAGCATCTAGCTTTCTCTAACACCCAGTGGCAAAGAACTATTTGTCTCTTAAAAGAAGAATGGTTATCTACAAGGAATAGTATGACTTTGTTTTAAACTTCGGTCTGGTCATGGGCCTGAACTCTGGGCCTGGGTGCTGTCCTCAGCTCTTCAGCTCAAGGCTAGCGCTCTACCACTTGAGCCACAGTGCCACTTGCAGCCTTTTCTGCTTATGTGGTGCCGAGGAATCAAACCCAGGGCCTCATACATGCAAGGCAAGTACTCTACCACTGAGCCACTTTCCCAGCCCCTGCTTTAAACTTCTAAGGGCTCACACTGCAGTTGAGCCAGAGGGGCCCCAGGGCTTCTCTGCCACAAACACTTGAAGTAACATCAGATCTGTTGGTTCCTCAGCCAAGAGGCAGGGCACTTGCTAGTAGCCAGCAGCCTTTGCAGAGCCTTCTCATTTGCTCAAAACTAGCAACTGAAGTAACACATCCCAGTGAAAATGCATTGCCTATAAAAGCTAGAATTATCAGGTGACCATGGCTCATACCTGTAATCTTAGCTACTCAGGAGGCTGAGATCTGAGGCTCACAGTTCAAAGCCAGCCTGGGCAGGAAAGTCAGTGAGACTCTTATCTCCGGCCTGGGAAGGTGGCTCAGTGGTAGAGTGCTTGCCTTGCATGCATGAGGCCCTGAGTTCAATTCCTCAGCACCACATAAGCAGAAAAAAGCCAGAAGTGGCGCTGTGGCTGAAGTAATAGGGCACTAGCCTTGAGCTGAAGAGCAGAGGGACAGTGCCCAGGCCCAGAGTTCAGCCCCCATGACTGACAAAAAGAGACTCATCTCCGAATAACCACTAGAAAACTGGAAGTGGTGTTGTGGCCCAAGTGGTAGAGCACTAGCCTTGAGCTGAAGAGCTGAGGGACAGCGTGCAGGCCCAGAATTCAAGCTCCACGACCAACTTAAAAAAAAAAATCTGTCAGTATGCTTCTTTCTTAGTTGTAGGAGGCCAGATTCAACAACTTACCCCTCTCCTTAAGAGAAATCATGTACCCTACACCGGTGGACCCCTAGACATGTAAGTGGGCTTAGTTGAATTTTTTTTTTTGGGGGGGGGGTTCCGGTCATGGGACCTGATCTCTGGGCCTGGGCGCTGTCCCTCAGTTCTTCAGCTCAAGGCTAGTGCTCTACCACTTGAGCCACAGTGCCACTTCTGGCTTTTTTCTTTTTGCTTATGTGGTGCTGAGGAATGGAACCCAGGGCCTCATGCATGCAAGGCAAGCGCTCTACCACTGAGCCACCTTCTCAGCCCCGCTTAGTTGAATTTATTTTCCATTCCCTGGTACATAAACATCAGCTTTGTTATTTTCTAGATCCAGTTAGCATGTCTTCAATGTAATGGAGCAGTGAGATGCCTTATGGAAGAGAAAAGCAGTCAAGATCCCTGTGACCTGAATTGTATAAGCTTGAAAGTTGATACATCCCTGATGTAAGTCAGTGACAGTGTATTGCCTAACAAACTGCTTGTGGTGGCCCTTACTGATGAATGGATCAGCAGCCAGACCAGCAGCTGTATATTAGATACCAGTGGGTGTATTCATTGGGACCAGCAATGAAACCACATCTGGCTGACTGGTAGGCCACCTGCCCAGCATACCCAAAGCCTTGAGTTCAATCTCCAGACTAAGGGGGAAAGGTCTAGTACAGCAACCACCACTGGGATTAACACCTGATTAGCTCTACCATTATCCATTGTCATTGCCCAAGATCCATCCGACTTCCACACAGTTGAATTGGGAGCTCCTTTCACACTTTTTTTTTTTTGCCAGTCCTGGGGCTCGAACTAAGGGCCTGGGCACTGTCCCTGAGCCACTTTGTCCTCAAGGCTAGCAGTCTACCACTTTGAGCCACAGTACCACTTCTGACTTTTTCTGTTTATGTGATACTGAGGAATCAAACCCAGGATTTCATGCATGCTAGTCAAGCACTCTACCACTAAGCCATATTCCAAGCCCTCCTTTCACATTCTTGATGGTGGCACTAATCTTGTAGATCTCTTGGACTGCTTTTCTAGGTAGAGGCTATTGTAATGGCTTCTACTTAGCCTTTACACCGTAATAACTCAGTGTAGAAATTCCACCAGCTGCTGACTGTTGGTTCTAAGTATTTCCAGAGCTGCAGGATGGCCTCAGGAACTCTGTGTGAGATGCTGAGCTAAAACTGACTTTCATAAGCCTCTGGTCTGACTGGTGGACCACGGTGAACATTTTGTGTCTTAATACTATATCAAAGCCAGTGCTCCTGAAAAGTTGGTTTTATTTTCCCCAATACTCAGTCACCCTTTGGGGAAGGGTAGGAGAAAGGTTAATACAAAATCTTGTTAGTATGGTAGAATTCATTTTCAAGGATACCTGACTTATCCTCCTTTGAGGGGTTCTGGATCCAGTCCAGGAGTTGACTGAAGGGCTGTGCCTTTTTATGATTCATGCTAGATCTTTGTTCACTTGACCTAGCTCTCTTCCAGTTACACAGAGAATGGGAAATTATTAGAGTTTTCATTCCACTGGTAAAACACCATGATTGTTGACCAGCCAACGCCACAGGTCAGGCTACTCTTAATTAACTACTGATTTTACTGTCCACCACAGTAAGCACACCCACTGGCCCCCAGCAATTAATTGGTCTATAGCCCTGGGATCCTGTATATTTGATGAGATTTATTTATAATAAGAGAACAATATGTTTTATCTGTGTCAGGTCTTTCCCAGTTACTACAGTTAGTTGCTATTGTTGTTTTACTGAGGGGGCTAGTATGCAGAGAGGTATGATGGGCATGAATGATGGCTGGCACAAAAGATGACAACAGGAGAAACAGGTTTTGCACAGCAAATAACGAGTCGGAGAGGGTGCTAGGCAATGAACCTCAGGCCCTGAGCATGCCAAACATGAGCATTAACAATGAGCTACACCTTTAGCCCCATCACCGAATATTTAAGTGTATTGTTCTTCCATTTGTGTGAGCAAAAAAGATGTTTGCTTCAAGATTATGAATAAGAGCTGTGCTCCAGTGGCTCACGCCTGTAATCTTAGACTGAGCTGGGGTCATTGATTAAAGCCAGCCTGAACAGGAAAGCCCATGAGATGATTATCTCCCAACTAAACACATGTACACACACATAAACAGTGGAGTTGTAGCTCTAGTTGTACAATGCAAGCCTTGAACAATAGAGCTAAAAGACAATGCCTAGGCCCTGAGTTCAAGGCCTAGTAACAAGTCACAAAAAAGATTATGAATAAGTATGTATCTATTTACATCATTCCATCCTCTGTGACAGGCTAGGATTCCTCAAATGAACAACCCAAAACTTGAAAATGCCCCAGCCTTATCTCCCTTCTCACATTCCACATTCCAGCCAGACCACTCATTCCTCCCAGCCAACACCCATCTGATCAGGACATTCTGTTAGCTGCACCATCTTCCCTCATCAGCCTTCCCTGCATCTCAGCCTCTGGTATCCTGCTCATTCTATAAGCTTTACCTCCTTCCACAGAGTGAACTCTTCTC